ATCATTATACTTTAGATGGTGTTTAGAATAGGACTCACATATATAACAAGAAAGTATAAACAAGTGAATTCAAATATTCAATTTCAAACATCACAAGTCAAAATGTCTACATGAGGTTGTCAATTAATCATTGGCTGCGTTCAGTAGAACAAAATGATCAGTGAGCGCTTAGTGATTATTGTCTGTGATTGGAACATTCTTTTAGATTCTTCATAGACCCAGAAGTATTTATCAATCAGGAGCGAGAATTACTAAGCGCTCACTGATCACTTTGTTCTGCTGAACGCAGCCATTGAAAACAGTGTTCCGATGTTGGAGAGGCTGCACGCGCATGCGCGACAATCTCTATTCGAAAGAAAGAGACAGAGACTCTCTGTCTCTCTCTTTCGAATAGAGATTTATCGCGCATACGCGTGCAGCCTTTCTACTAATACAAGGTGCACGATTTATCTAAAGACATTGAAATATCTCGAGAACTATGCATTGGATAAAAAAAAGTGGTTAATGAAAGTTGTTAGTCTCGAAGGGGGACATTCAATGATACCAAATTCGACCTCCCACTCCACCCCCTGGGGGTGGGGGTTGGGGGCAACTTTGAAATCTTAAATGGAAACCCCCATTTTTTATTGCAGATACGGATTCTACGCCACAAAATACGTAAATTTTGTCCGAAACTTTTTTTTTATTCGTGATAGATGGCGCTGTAATCGCAAAAAATTATATTTTCCGCAATTCTCCAGAAATGATCATTGGATTGAGAAATAAAAAATACCTGTTCAATATTTTTAAAGAACATAGAGATGTTCAATATTTTTAAAGAACATACATAAAGAACATTTTTAAAGAACATTTTAAAGAACGCCGGATTTCTTTCTGTGGGGTTACCCAAAAGATAAAATTTATCAACAAGTGCCAACAACTCGTGAAAACATGGTAGAACGCATAAGAAACGCTTGCGCTGATATACGTTCTACCATACGATATGCTTCTATCCTGTGTACAGTCATTTGAAAAAAGGATCAATAAGTGTATTGAAGTTGAAGGTAAAAATTTCGAACACTTACTCTAATTAATTGAACAGTGAGAGGCAAGGGGACTCACATTAAAAAAGCACCCCGATCTGTGAGAGGCAAGGGGACTCACATTAAAAAAGAACCCGAAGGGAACATAAAACTACTACGTCCTCGTCGTTGTTCCTGTGTAACGCTAAAAGTAGTTTCTCGGAAAAATTCAACGCTATCACGAATGAAAAAAATTGTTTTAATAAAAATTTCACGTACAATCTAATTCTGCAATGAAAAATGTGGGTCCCCATTTGAGATTTGAACGTTATCACCCACCCTACCCCGAGAGGATGGGGGGGGAATAACTTTTGTTCTTTAAAAATATTGAACAGGTATTTTTTATTTCTCAATTCAATGATCATTTCTGGAGAATTGCGGAAAATATAATTTTTTGCGATTACAGCGCCATCTATCACGAATAAAAAAAAAGTTTCGGACAAAATTTACGTATTTTGTGGCGTAGAATCCGTATCTGCAATAAAAAATGGGGGTTTCCATTTAAGATTTCAAAGTTGCCCCCAACCCCTACCCCCAGGAGGTGGGGTGGGAGGTCGAGTTTGGTATCATTGGATGTCCCCCTTCGAGACTAACAACTTTCATTAACCACTTTTTTTTATCCAATGCATAGTTCTCGAGATATTTCAATGTCCTCAGATAAATCGTGCACCCTGTATATCGGAACACTGATCGAAAATATGATTACCACTTAAAAAAATATAATTTTTTTTCTTTTATGTTCCGTTTTCTGTTGTATGTATAGGTTTCCTATTGTATATATAGATCTTACTTTAAACACCATCGAAAATACAATGATTATTAAGCTTCGACAGAAAACGGAACATGAAAGAAAAAAAATTGTATTTTGCTTAGGTGGTAATCATACTTTCGATGGTATTTAAAATAGGATTTAATCAATCGAATAATATAAATTTTTTTTGCGGCGTTGACAACTTCCTGTAGACACTCTGTCTTGTGATATTGCATTTAAGAGACGATATAAGACTGCAATAAATTTTAGTTGTCTATGTTACAGCGTTATTTTAATCCCCTATGTTACAGATCCCCTATGTTAAGTTGTGCTTTCTTTCCTTTTTTGTTTTGACCATAACAATTTTTTTGCGACATTAATTGACAACCTCCTGTAGATTCATTATTGCTTAAATTACCAGAGTGGTAACATGTGGTTTTTACATTATTTAAATTATTAAAATAGTACTGAGTTGGTAACGTTTAACCCAAGTTTTGAAGATCCTTTTCTTGATAATTCAATGTCGCTTACCTCTTGCACATGTATTCTACATGTTTTACAAGTAAACCACATTTTTTATTAATAGTATAATATAATTAAAACTTATGATTACCTTGTAAATGCACATAGAATACACATGTACAAAGTAAGCGACATTAACCTATCAAGAATAGGATCTTCAAAACTTGATAAAAATCTCATCGATATCAATACTTCCTATAATACTCCTCAAATTATCAGAGTGGTGACAAGTAGTTCTTGCAGAATTAATAGTGGTGAGTGGTGATAGCAAGTTTTGAAGATCTTATTCTTGACAGGTTGATATCGCTTACCTCAAATATTTGTATTCTACATGCATTTATAACTATAAAAGTTTTAATTATATTATACTATTTTTTTGTAGAATTTTTTTTGTAGAAGTTTTTGTAGAATTAATAATAGTGATAGCAAGTTTTTCAATAAACAATGAATACACACTGCGTAGTACTGTTACATTAGAAGGATAAAAGCTTTCTTTTTTCAGCAAATATTTACTATGGATATTAATCACTTTAAGTGCAACTGTAACAGTAACTGAACAGTACTCAAAAACTATTTGATACCACTCTGGTAATTAAAGCAGTAATTAATTATTATAAAAAGTACTGAATTGCTAACATTTTCATCAAGTTTTAAAGATCTTTTTCTTGTCAGTTGGATGATACGTATCTCATGCACATATATTCTACATATATTCTTAAGTTTAACATAAAGAATTCAGTTATATTTGTTACCTACATCAAGTGTAAGATACTTAGATCTCATTTGACTTAGGTATGCATTAATTAATATTTGTCATCTGAAACTTGTCTCATTATAAAATATTCAGATGATTATTCAAAGTTTGATTCAAATGTTTCAGTTAAATGATACATAGGCTGCGTTCCGATATTCACTGCCAGTACTGAAAATACATAGTTTGCGTCACGTATACTATAGATTTTTAGTGCTGACAGTGAATATCGGAACGCAGCCATAATGTGATATTTACATTTATTTAAATCAAATTTTAAATAATCATCTCAGTATTTTATAATGAGACAAGTTTCAGATGATAAGTATTAATTAATGCGTATCTAAGTCAAAAAATGGATCTGAGTATCTCACATATAAAACCGCTTCGCTCCTGTGTGCACTTGGGACACTATCGTGTCTCTTGAATAAATAATAATGATAGACAAATATTTTGTCAATACGAATCAATACGAAAGCGTCCAAGGGGAACTTAACCTGTATATGTCATCATTTATCATATAAACAGCTGCTTGCAAAGCCGCATTGCTATCTGTCTGGCATCACTGCCTGTAGCGCCATTTAATAGAGAAAGGTATGCGACTGGACATTTTTTGGACGACGTTTCTTAATCGTGAAAAGTTAGCGATTCTGACTTTAATATTAAAAATTCTCGACTTATAGTGCACGTAGGAAAAAAATAAAGACAGTTTTATTATGTAAATCGACCCTAAGGAATCGATTGAGCTCACTTAGAACTCGATCAGATTAGTCATTTGAGCGGTACGATAATCTTACCTCGGATCAACTAAGTGCTTCGCGTAGAGACACGGCCGGTCTCACGGCCCGTGCGTATCGCTTCGCTCTCGCGAGCACTTGGCGCGAGACACTACCGTGTCTCTTGAGATATATATATATATATACATATATATTTTTTTTCACCTGAATATAGATATGATATATGATATAGATATATGATATCAAAAATTTCCAACCAAATCACGGGTATCATATTTAAATATTCATGCTTTATAATTATACTCGATAAATTGGCAATGTAAATCGGTGTTCCAAAGCTGCCAATCTGTTATCACATGTATTAGTTTAATGGCTTTATGTTTAACTTGTATAATATGAAAGATACAGGTGTTGTCGATAAATTGCTTCAAATATGTATTACATATTTCCAATAAAAAGAAGCAATACTCAGAACAATCTATCAAACGATCTATCTATCTGAAAATTGCCATGTAAAAATAAATTTAATGTAAAATAAGAAGGTTAAAAGATAAATAATGGCAAGTTAATAATCGATATATCTATGTCTTCATTTTAAAGTTTAATTTTATATTAGCCTGTCATTACTTATATCCATCTTAATCTATTTTTATATTAAATTTATTTTTACATGACTTTTTAAATTCCCGGCAGATTATTATTCTACGTATATTTTCTCTTATTAAAAATATCTAATAAACATTTTAAGTATCAACATTGTCTGCAACTTTGCGTTGTACAAACATTAGATGTAAAGTCGTCAAATGGTGACAAGCAGTTTAGAGCATTGTTGCCGATTTACTGAACAGTCATGAAGCAGGAATATTCAGACATAATATGTCTGGTTAGAAATTTTCGATACCACTATGTTTAAGTAATAAGAATGCATTAGCGGAATTTCCTGTAGGTAAAAACAATATATAGAGTCATGCAATTAGAACAGATTATATTACTATTTATATTATAAATAAATAAAGTTAATTATTACGTTTTTCAGTCTGCGTTCGTTAATAATTTTTTAATAACAATATGCAATGGCTAAAATTTTTCGAATGTTCAAGCTAATAATCTTAACATGTGTTAATATCTTGTTAATCCGTCAAAAGCAATATTTATTGTGTTCAGAAGTGCATACTTACTTTATCGTCTTTAGTAAAATTTTCATCATTCATAACATTCAAGGAGGAACTCTCTAAATATTTGGCATATTCCGATAATACTTCCTCCTTGCCCACGATGGCGGCAGTGGTTTTGTCCTTTGTTAAATGACTAAATATCGACATAGCATATTTTTTAGCTTCCAACTTCTGCAACATTCTTTGTGATATCGTCTCTGTATTGACTTTCATTTTTAACACTTCCATGTTGCAATCACCGAGCAATACTGCATCCCCATAATTTACGCTATTTGCTAATTTTAACTGGACCAATTTCATAGAAGCCTTTGAATCCTCTGCTGAACAGTGTCCTGTTGGATTCATTTGAATACTTTCCCCGAGAAATTCCTGCGCCAAAATTCGCAGCTTTGTTTTCCTATACCTAGTTAAATGTCAGTGAAACTATTATAAGATATTATAAGAAACTATTATAAATTTAAAATTATATTCTACTTAAGTAAAACGTCAAATATTTCTTTCTCTGAACACGTGTAGAAAAAAAATCAATAAGTTACCGTTTAAATAAATAATTATAATATCGATAAATATATATTAAGTTTGATTTGTTTTCCGGATATATACCGCCATCCATTTCTTTCGATGTTTCATGAATACCCCGATTCATTTTTTCAAGAACAATTTGAAACTGTTAAATTGTTGATTTTCTCTTATATGAGCATTTTTGAGAATAATTAAATACATATTGATTGATTAGTTGATAGAAAAGGACTAGTTTATTAAAGAGAGAGGAAAGGTAAGAAAACAGAATGGTAATGGATTCTTTAAAAATCTGGAGTCACACACTAGACTGATTTTAGGTGGCTCTTTGTTTAGGTTACCGGGTTGTTTATAAATTCCCTGTATTTGCGAGAGAAGTAGACATTAGTTTTAATTGTTAGTTAAAATTGAAAATTGATCAAATAAGATTGTATCATATGTTATTACACGATATTCTGATAATGCAAGTTGTGTTAAATATTTCAGCCTGACTGCAGATTGCTGATCCTTTACGTGTATTAACCATCTCACTTTTCCTTCTATGCAAATTTTACCATGTGCAAGGAATTTTATTAATTTCTAATACATTTAATAATATTTTGTTCTTTAGGTTATTGAGAAATTGTTCGATTTTTATTGGAAGTTTGTACATAGCTTATGTTATGTTTTTTAAGATTCTGCTGATCTTGTCTGACTCCTTGTATGTATGGAAGAATGATGGTTGGTATTTTTGAATTGTCTATTTTGCTATGTATTGGTTTTGTTAGAATGTCTAAATGAGAACAACTTTCTTCTCTTCACACATATAAAAAGTTACAAAAATAATTGATAAAATCTTAAAAAGAAAATATGAAAATTCTCAAACATCACATATATAAACATACATATTCTCAAACATACACATATAAAAGAGAAGCCCACAGGAAGATCAACAATTTCAGGTTGTTCCCCTCCCTGAAATGAATTGAAATATCTACGAAATATTATAAACAAATCCACAATAGACGCAATACAAACTCAGAAACTAAGTCAAACATGTCTAAACTGTTAAAATCTAAAATATCAGAATATATATTGTTTTGTTGTAAAAAATATTGCATAAGAAATTATTATATAAATTAATATTATATAAAAAACTGAAGAGAAATGAAAGCTGTTTATGAATCTACTCAAATCATAATTGTTTTGTATTATATATTATGCATAATGGTATATGTAATATTTATAGTTTGTGATATTACCTATCACCAGTTACGTTGAATATCACTGAAGTGTCAATGATATAAGGATGCATCATTTGCAATGTGTGGAGATCAGAGTTCAAACTTTGTCCCACGAGAATCGCATCCGGAGGAAGTATAGTTCTTAATACAGACTGAACGTCACTTAATCTAACCGTAACGTCTTCCAACATTTCTTTGGTAATACCGCTGTAGCAAGTCAGATAATTCGTTATCTCATTATCTGGTTTCACTAGGCTGTCATAAATAATCTATGATAAAAGTTAAAACATATTTATGTGTATAAATTTTTTCACAACGCGCAAATACCTAAAATGTTATACTTACATTTAGTTTCTCATCCACAATACTAATTCTCGTAAGTTCCAGATCACCTATGGTTGTCCTGCACATTTCGCAATCTAAAGCGAACATCGGAGACGTTGCTATAGCTTCTTTGTAATGGTCCTTTGTCAATACATATGAATTGTATCTGGAATACATACATAATTACGAGTTTATACTATGACGATGTAATTCATATTTATAAAACTTACCTTTTTAAACAAAAAAGGCGCCTTTTTAAAAAAAGGCGCCAAGTACAAGCGTAACACGTATTGTGTTATTTTTAGAAATTTCAAATTCAAATTATTTTTTTAAGGTATATATGTGTACATAACATAAGTTTTTATAAGTAAAACTTATAATAAAACTATAATAAAACTCTACAACACTATTCTATTGTACAAAAGAAGTGATATATTAAAACAGTAGCGCCAACTGAAGAACCGAACATATATATATGATTATTGTATACTTGATATTTTTAGAAATCTCAAATTGAAATTATTTCCTTTTTTTAAGATATATATTATGTATTGGGTGAGTGCAAAAGTTCGTGCGGAGTTTCAATAGATGGAGTTATAAGCGTCGTAAAGTGTTGTCATTAATACTTCCATCTACATATTATATAACGTTGGAAAGGTGACGTCTTCAGCTGTTATTAAAAAAAAAATCATTTGTTTTCATACAAACTGCTTCGAGAAATATCACTTTAAAAATGAGTATCGATAAGGTGCATTTACGGTATGTTATGCTTTACGAGTTTCGGAAGGGAATAAACGTTGCCGCAGCCGTAAAAAACATTCAGGATGTTTATCAGGATGAAGCACCAGCTAAACGAAGTGTGGAAAAATGGTTTGCTAAATTTCGGCGCGGAGAATTTAACCTTGAAGACGAGCCACGCTCTGGTCGACCTTCTGACATTGATGACGATGTTTTGCGTACTTTAGTGCTCAATAATCCGCGAATTTCAACAGAAGAAGTTGCTACAGCACTACGTTGACCGATCAACCGCTTTTCGGCGTTTAAAAAAGATGGGATTCGATTTGAAGCTCGATATATGAGTGCCCCATTTGCTGACCGAGAAGAACAAAATCAAGCGAATTTCTGCAGCCGTTTCTTTACTCGGGCGGCTCAATAACGAGTCGTTTTTGGATCGACTAGTGACGGGCGATGAGAAATGGGTCCTCTACAACAATGTTCAGCGCAAACGGACATGAAAACAATCAGGTGAGCATGGTGACGCAATGCCAAAGGCCAGTTTGCACCCGATGAAGGTGATGCTCTCTGTTTGGTGGGATTGCAAGGGCATAATTTATTTCGAGCTTCTCCCCGCTGGCGAAACGATTGATTCGGACAAGTACTGTCGCCAATTAACCAATCTGAATCGAGAAATAAAAGAGAAACGTCCGATTTTGTCAAATCGCAAGGGAGTCGTCTTTCATCACGACAACGCCAGACCACACGTTTCGAAAAAGACGCTGCGTAAACTGAAGAGCCTGAAATGGGATGTCTTAACACATCCACCGTATTCTCCTGATATCGCACCATCTGACTATCACTTGTTCCGGTCATTGCAAAATTATTTAAATGGAAAAAACTTTGACTCTTTGGAGGCCTTAAAAAGCGGCGTCTCTTCGTTCTTCGAATCTAAACCGCGCAGTTTTTATGATCGAGGCATCCGTATGCTGCCAGAACGTTGGGAAAAGATTATAGAAAACGATGGGGAATATATCATTGATTGAATAAAGATTTTTGTTTGCCTAATCACTGTGTGACTTTTACTCACAAACTCCGCAGAACTTTTGCACTCACCCAATACATAACAAGTTTTTACAAGTAAAACTTATCAAATTATTTTTCTTTTAAAATATATATGTACATAAGTTTTTACAAGTAAAAATTATATCGTGTTATAAAAATTTAACACGTTTATTAATAGTTTATTAATAGTGCCAATATTTAAAAAAAAGTATCTATTTAAAGGTTATTATTATTCAAGAATCTAACTACAAAAAATGTCCATAACATAAATTTTACATGTAAAATTTATCATTATTTATTATTTTACTTGTTATTATAACAAATTATTTATTATAACAATGCAATAAATAATATTTAATACAAAAAATCTTGGCACGGCTGCACCAAAAACTATATCGAAGATGTATGTACATAAAAGTCAAATTACATAATTATTCTATATAAACTTAAATAAAACATTACACCGTAAATGTATAGAGAGAATTTACAAGTACATTTTATTCTAATAAAAATGCTGTCATATACGTATTAAACAAGTTTTAGTTCGATACAGTTTTTGGTGCAGCCGCGCTAAGATTTTTTGTATTAAATATTTTTTATTGCATTGTTATAATAAATAATTTGTTATAATAACAAGTAAAATAACCATATAACTCAGTGTTCTAATAAATAATTATAAATTTTATATGTAAAAATTTACGTTATGGACATCTTTTGTAATTAGGTCCTTGAATAATAATAACCCTTAAATAGATATTAGGTGCGCAACTAAGTTTCCGGGTTTCACACATGGATGGCGCTAACGACACATCGTAGTCGACATACATGTCTGAAGTTGTGTTTTTTTATAGCTTGGACATCTTTTAACAATAACCAGTCGTAATACCAACACATATCGCAACGCAAAAATATTTTTTCTAACAACGAAGATGTCGAGTTTTGTGCCAAATAAACAGCATTTGCGGGAAGCTTTGCTTTTCTGCTTTAACTTGAAAAAAAGTGCAGCTGAAGCACGTCGTTTGCTTGAGGAGGCCTACGGCGAACATGCACCATCGAAAACTACCTGCGAAGATTGGTTTAAACGCTTCAGAAGTGGCGATTTCGACACTGAGGACAAGGAGCGCTCCGGAAGATCAAAAACAGGATCTGCGAATTGAGAACGCCGATCTGCAAGCGTTATTGGATGAAGATGATACGCAAACACAAGATCAACTTGCGGAGGCATTAAACATGACTCGCTAAGGTATTTCCAAACGTTTACATGCCATGGGAAAAATTCAAAAGGAAGGAAAATGGGTGCCGCATGAGTTGACTGAGAGACAGATGGAAAATCGAAGAGCCACTTCCGAAATTTTGCTTTTGCGGCATGAAAGAAAGAGTTTCCTGCATCGAATTGTTACTGGCGATGAGAAGTGGATATATTTCGAGAATCCCAAACGCAAAAAATCGTGGCTTTCACCTGGCGAAGCATTAACATCGACGGCACGGCCAAATCGCTTCGGAAAGAAGACAATGCTCTGCGTTTGGTGGGACCAGAAAGGAATCGTGTACTATGAGCTGCTGAAACCGGGCAAAACTGTCAATGGGCATTGCTACCGACAACAACTGATCAATTTGAACCATGCATTGCTCGAAAGACGGCCAGAATGGGACACGAGACACGAACGAGTGATATTGCAGCATGACAACGCTCCGTGCCATCGCACTTCCATGATCCAGGACACTATCAAAACGCTGAAATGGGATCTGCTACCGCACCCGCCATATTCGCCAGACTTGGCCCCTTCCGATTATCATTTGTTCCGGTCGATGGCGCATGGCTTGGCTGGACAACACTTGGCCAATTTCGAAGAAATGCAAAATTGGTTGGATGAATGGTTTCGGTCCAAAGACGCGTCGTTTTATCGTCGCGGTATTCATGTATTGCCAGAGAGATGGCAAAAATGTGTAGCTAGCGAGGGACAATATTTTGAACAAACTATTTTTTGTATTTCTCTTGAAATTTTCCATTTTTCATTGATCAAAAAAACCCGGAAATTTAGTTGCGCACCTAATATTTCTTTTTAATATTGTCACTATTAATAAACTATTAATAAACGTGTTAAATTTTTATAACACGATATAATTTTTACTTGTAACGATATAATTTTTACTTGTAAAAACTTATGTTATGTACATATATGTTTTAAAAGAAAAATAATTTGATAAGTTTTACTTGTAAAAACTTATGTTATGTACATAATATATATCTTAAAAAAAGAAAATAATTTGAATTTGAGATTTCTAAAAATATTAAGTATACAATAATCATATACAGGGTGTCTTATAACAAATTTGGCAGAGCTCGTGGAGACATAGAGCGGGTTAAGACGAATATAAAAGTCCCATACCGTTTTGTGAGATTCGCAATAATTATCGAGTTATTAATGACAGAAATCTGAGGGATGAGCGTGCGCCAAAACGTTATGGGAGGAGCATCTAGCCGCTCAGGTTAGAGAGCACTGCCCAGCAGTGATGCATATTAGGGACCTCAGCTGGCCCAGTCGACAAAGGAACTGTTGCCGGCGCGCGGCGAGACGAAGGACAACGCACCAATGTTCATGTCCTTACCTCGCCGCTCCTACATCCCGCCGCACCGCGTCTAAGCTCGCGCCGATATGGCCGCCGAATATTCGCGTTTACAATTACGAGATTATTTTATGAGGTACCACAGATAGCTCATATTGAATTGTAAATTGTAAAGTTTAAGGTTCAAAAGTTCTTTGATCAAGGAAAACATCGAAAAGAAAAAAGCGATAGAGAGCGATGAGATCTACAGAGATTCTCATTGTTTTCTATCGCAATCTATCATTTTGCTGCATCGGATCCGAAAGAAATGATATCGCGTAAAAATAAAGTACGATGAACACTTTTCATCGTATTCTATTGTACTCTATCGTTAGGAGAATATTTAATTGTCAGAGTATGATAGAATTCGCGTAGAGACTCATCGTGTCCTATCGTTTTATTCAAGTCTACATGGAAAATATGTTTGGTTGAATGAACCAATTTTCTGACGAAATGAGAGAGAGAAAGAGAGAACGATTAAGAAATTTTGATTGAGAATAGCACAATTTTGTTTAAGTTAACCATAAACCTTGATAAATTAGATTGAGTGTTAATATTTTCAGTTAATATTTCTCTGTATCGTTCATATTTCATTTGCAAGTTGTATCATATGGACCAAACATTTTTACCATGTATCACGCATAAATTGTTGTCTTATATCGTAATTCTTATCAGTGGTATATTAACGACAGAAGAAACTGAAAGTTCTATATCGTACAATTGCGAAAAGAGGACCATCGTTGTCAATGGTGTACCAACGATACTCGGCATAATATTGATTCCTAGGTACAATAGGACACGATGAGTCTTTACGCGAATTCTATCATACTCTGACAATTAAATATTCTCCTAACGATAGAGTACAATAGAATACGATGAAAAGTGTTCATCGTACTTTATTTTTACGCGATATCATTTCTTTCGGATCCGATGCAGCAAAATGATAGATTGCGATAGAAAACAATGAGAATCTCTGTAGATCTCATCGCTCTCTATCGCTTTTTTCTTTTCGATGTTTTCCTTGATCAAAGAACTTTTGAACCTTAAACTTTACAATTTACAATTCAATATGAGCTATCTGTGGTACCTCATAAAATAATCTCGTAATTGTAAACGCGAATATTCGGCGGCCATATCGGCGCGAGCTTAGACGCGGTGCGGCGGGATGTAGGAGCGGCGAGGTAAGGACATGAACATTGGTGCGTTGTCCTTCGTCTCGCCGCGCGCCGGCAACAGTTCCTTTGTCGACTAGACAACGCTCTCTAGCCTGAGCGGCTAAATGCTCCTCCCATAACGTCTCGGTGCGCGCTCATTCCTCAGATTTTTGTCATTAATAACTTGATAATTATTGCGAATTTCACAAAACGGTATGGGACTTTTATATTTGTCTTAACCCGCTCTATGTCTTCACGAGCTCTGCCAGATTTGTTATAAGACACCCTGTATATATGTTCGGTTTCTCAGTTGGCGATATTATTTTAATATATCACTTCTTTTGTACAATAGAATAGTGTTGTAGAGTTTTATTATAGTTTTATTATAAGTTTTACTTGTAAAAACTTATGTTATGTACACATATATACCTTAAAAAAATAATTTGAATTTGAAATTTCTAAAAATAACACAATATGTGTTACGCTTGTACTTGGCGTCTTTTTTTACCTTTTTGTTTAAAAACGTAAGTTTTATAAATTTTACATGTAAAAACTTATGTTACGTACATTTTTTGTTATTAAGTTTTTCTTGAATAATAGTAACCTTTAAAAAGATATCTTTTTTATTGATTTTTTGACAGCACGGTCCATCATATCGTTTGCTCAGCATCAGCTGACCGGCAATCAAACATGACGGGCGACAAACATACCGTGCTTAATAATTTTCACATTATTATTTTTAAACATTCCCTCTCTCACTCTCCTCCCTCACCTTCTGCCCTTTCTCCCTTCCCTCCCACTCTGTCTCTTTCTCCCTCTCTCCCTCCCCCTCTTTCTCTCTCCCTCATCCTTCCCTCTCCCTCCTCTCTCTCACTCCTTTCTCTGATTCCTCTCTCTCTCTCCTCTCTCCCTCACTTCCCCCTCTCTCTCTCTCTCTCTCTCTCTGCTACTCCTTGCTCTATCACTCTTATTTCTCTCACTTCTTTTTCTCTCCCTCTCACTTTCTCTCACTCCTCTCTCTCTCTCTCTCTCTCTCTCTCTCTCTCTCTCTCGCACGTTTTCTCTTATACTATATTCTAACATATTTCTCGCTTATTCGCTCGCATTCTCTGCTGTCTGCTTCTTCAGCGCTCTCGTAGCGCCCCTAGTGTCGGGAAAGCAATGTGCACGCATATCCCCATTCCTCTGCGTCCGACGTTTCTTTCTTACTGAATCGAAATTTTCCGTAATTCAGTCTTTATCTTAAAATGCCTCTACTTAGAGATAACGTACACAAAAAGCATAAGAACACTTTTCTTCCTATTTTTTAAGGCCGAATCGATTGAGACTAAAAACCCTCGATCGGTTCAGCCATTGGTAAGATATGAATATCTCACCTCGTTTCAACTCGCAGTTTCGCGTAATATAGGCACGGTGTGCCTCGCGCCGTTCGGGTGCAAATTCGTTGTGCTTGAACTTGGCGCAAGGCACTACCGTGCCTCTTGATAATGTAATCTATGTACTTACTTTTCTGCTAAAATTCCTTTCAAAGGTACAGGGTAATTTTCTTCCACCATTTGCCACAGTGACAAGAGCAGTTTTGTTCTGCAGAATTTGTCGGATTGTGGTAAATTTTTGCAAGCTTCCATTTCCATTTTATTATCATTTATAGGACATACTGGGAATATAGTTTTTAATAATCTTATAACATTTCCAGTAGTTTGTAAAGCAGTTTCCAAAGAACCATATTCTGAAAATTATAGAAATGTCAGGAGTACACACATGCATGCACATATACGTATACACAGTGTTATGCATACATAAATGCAATGATAGGAGCAGATATATACGAACGTTTGATTAATTTAGAACTCTGTGTTCCTGTTAAAGGAACAGCTGCAAGTTCTTCTATTATAGATGCTCCGTAGATAGCAGGTGTTACTACCTCCAACTGGTATTTTAAGTTGTTTGTTATGTGTGGAAACATGCTCTCGTGCGCCACAAAATGATACAAAGATAATCCTTCAATCACAAAAACTACAGTGTGGGATACCTGTGAGAAGAAAGGTACTACGATTTATCAAACATAATTTAAATGTTCTCTAAAAGAATATCTAGAATCACACAATAGTATGATAGATATTGTTACTTTATTGTGTTTCTCCAATTGACACCATCGTGATGGTAGATAGGGAGAATAATTCCCGAGTAATGAGTATAGCAGAAGATGTTGCACATCACTGAGAAATATAGGTATCCTCTTTCCCACTTTACTTGCTTCTAAAGTAGCATTTTCACCACCTGCTTTAAGAGTAAGCCTTGGAATTGTTGTAAGCCTCTTTTTACGTTCTCTCAGTTCTTGTTTCAAGATTGCATATTCTTCACCATTTAATCTGGGTAACATTAACATTATAATTGATTTATATTATAGGTAATTGTGAAGAATACGGGCCTCCTCACCAGTTTCGCTGAAACTTTGTACAATTGTGTATTTTGGTGCGTAGAACGCGAATTTGAAAGAAAAAAGTGTCGCTCTCAAACGGATCGAAAGTTATAAAGTGATAAAAAATAACACATACGAGGTTAGGAAATCTGTCATGCCAGTAATGCAGACTGATCTGTTCTTTATATGCCAGTTTCTACCAACCTTGATTAACTTGATCGATTGGTTGTTATAGCGGGACTGACCAATTACATCTGTCGTTGTGTCAGGATTTAACAAGTACGATTGGTTAATTGCAATGGAATAACCAGCTGGTTAAGTTCACCACAGATGGTAGAAACGGGCATTAGTCGCACAACTGATACTGAACTCACAAGGGACATGTCACAACTGTCCGGAACCGATTTGATTCTCCTTCAAATATGTTGTTAAATACACAAATCTAAAAGACACGTATTTTTTTATATGTGCGAATATTGAGTTTTAAAGGGTGAAACACCCCTTTAAAGAAAAACGGTATTTTTCTTTAGAATCGAATATCTGCTAAACTATAAGTGATAGAAAAAAAAACATGTAATGAAAATTTAATCGCTTGAAGAATACTTTAAAGTTATATGAACAAAAATTTTTTATTTTTATTTTTTTAAGAACCCCCACCACTTAATTTTTTTTGCAAAATAAAAAAAAATTTTTTTACCTAATTTAAAGCTTATTTTTTTCCAAATTCAACCATATATGATAAAGTTATGTTACGAGATATCATTCTCGAAAATTAATTATAAACGCTTCCATATATACACTTATCCGTACTATGTATGTAAGTCATCATCGCCGGAACAATAAGATATATGAAAAATGTTTATGTAAAATTTTTATCTGTTTTCTATGTATTTATAACTACATATTGTGTATATTTAGAATTGTAAAAAGATTTTTTAATAATTTTAAAAAATTTAAATTAATAAGAATTTTTTAAATATATCCCCAGCTCTCTTATTATTTCTTTAACATTTAATTTTTTCTATAAAAATTAAAAACTTTATTCTAAAATTACCTACTTATAATAAAATTATTTTACAATTGAATCTTGAAAATATACATGTCGCAATAATTGGCATAAACAATTTATATCTTACGTTAAAAAATTAAGATAAGATTATGTGTACATGTTCCAAATAAGTTCTAATTAAATTATTTTACAATTAAATCTTTGCGAAAAAATACATATCGCAATATTTGGCGTAAACAATTTATATCTTACTTTAAAAGATAAGATTATGTGTATGTGTTCTAGATAAGTTGATAATATATATTGTTTCATGTACAATAGCAGCATAATTCCCACAGTCAGTGTAGTCTTCTCATTGTAATCATATCTATGTAAACTGTTTTTATATTGCAACAGAAAGCAAAATTTAACATCTTTGGAAATGATTATCAATCTGCTTAACGTTGTTAGACTTTTATTGATGTCAATAAATTCAATATATCTAACAGAAACGCCAGTAACTGAAGCAGAAAAGGAATTAAAGGAAAAGATACAAAAATTATTGCTGGATGGTGTTTTTCATTATGGAAGTAACGGAAGAAATATATCTCGATTATGAAGAACATTATAAATTACATAGTTCTAAAATAACTGAAGATGAAGAAGCATGGAATGAAGATAATTTAAATTCTCATCCTCATTGTTCAAATGATGATACAAATTTTGACAGTTTTTATAAAAGACGAGCTGTTGAGTTTTGGCGACATCGAGATATTAATAAAAACAGTAATGACAAAAAAGAAATCGTCCTTTAAAAGTAGTGCAAAGTAAATTTAGAAGAGTTTCATCTCAGTCAGAGAGTTCAGAACGTCAGTTAAGGCGATGGGAAGAACAAATAAATTCAGGTGGAAGTCGTATAGAAAAATTATCTTACATATCCAAATTTACACACGATAAATTTACTGTAGCTGTTAAATCAGGATTCATGGTTCATGATATTAAGCTAAAAAGATGGGCTTTACAAGCTCAAGAAGAAATAGGAAATTTAAATCCTATATTTAAAGCATTTCACAGTTGGATAGCAAGATTCAAGAAGTCTCACCGAATTGTTTCAAGAAAAGTTACGAAGTTTATCACTAGAAGAACATTAGAAGATTCTGTTGATTTGCAAAAATCAGCTGATGATTTTCTGGAAACAGTAAAACCTCTTATTGAACAATTTGGATCTGAAAATATTTACAATTCAGATCAAAGTGGTTTCCAATTGGAAATTCATTCTAGAAGATCATTGTCTAACCAGGAAAAAAGAAAGTAGAACGTGTCATGCAATCTATATCATCAACAACCCATTCATATACGATACAACCAATAATATTCTGTAATGGCAATTTGTTGTTTATATACCTTTATTTATTGTATTAAAAGAAGCTAGTGTAGGTAAATTTGGACCAAGAGTAGAAGAAAATTTATTTAAACCAGAAAATGTCATTGTAAAAGCATCGAAATCTGGTAAAATGACATCAAGTATTTTCTTTTCTAACTATTTTCTTTAATAAACTTATTTCACTTTATAATTTAATAAGAGTTTTAAAAACTATTATATCGTTTATATTTTTTACAGATTATTTTAAAATGTGGTTAGAAGAAGCTTATTTTGCAAATATTGGTCCTAATAGCGTTCTTCTTATCGATTCATGGACTGGACATTGCCCCAATACTATTTCGGATTTAACCCCTCCAGGAACACATATTACTACTATGATAATACCGAAAGGAACTACAGGGAAAATACAATCATTAGATGTTTATGGATTCAGAATTTGGAAAAATTTTGCTAAAAGATTTTCAGATACGGTTTTATTATTGGAAAGTAATATAAATTTACATGAACGAAATAATATAATAAAATTGCAATCTTTGATACATAATCAATTATCATCCCCACGATATCAAAACTTATTTAATTTATTAAATATTCGTGGTTTAAAAGTGGTTATACGAAAGACCAGAAGAATTTGAAAATCCAGTAAAATTTAGTTTTGACGAAACATCAACAAAATGTGATATTGAAGGTTGCAATAATATAGCTGTAGTAAGATGTTCTTGGTGCAAGAAATCATTATGCTTAAAACATTTTTTTGTCGAATATCATTATTGTAATGTGTATAATGAGTAAATAATATAAAATGTAAATAAATTCATTGTGTAAATAACAAATAAACAAAATGTAAGATGTAAGAACAAAAATAATTGTAAGAGAAAAAATTATAAAACGTTATTCAAAAATATAATGTGTAAAGATGAATAACAGATTTGATTATATAACGAAAAGACAGTGTGTGCTGACTGAGTATTAGATCGCTACATGAAAAAATTTATACTGTTAACATATCTGGAACACGTACACATAATCTTATCTTAATTTTTTAACGTAAGATATAAATTGTTTATGCCAACTATTGCGACATATATATTTTCAAGATTCAATTGTAAAATAATTTTATTATAAGTATTATAGTAAATAGATAATTTTAGAATAAAATTTTTAATTTTTATAGAAGAAATTAAATGTTAAAGAAATAATAAGAGAGCTGGGGATATATTTAAAAAATTCTTATTAATTTAAATTTTTTAAATTATTTAAAAATTTTTTTACAATTCTAAATATACACAATATGCAGTTATAAATACATAGAAAACATAGGTAAAAATTTTACATAAACATTTTTCATATATCTTATTGTTTCGGCGATAATGACTTACACACATAGTACGGATAAGCGTATATATGGAAGCGTTTATAATTAATTTTCGAGAATGATATCTCGTAACATAACTTTATCATATATGGTTGAATTTGGAAAAAAATAAGCTTCAAATTAGGTAAAAAAAATTTTTTTTATTTTGCAAAACCCATGTGGGAAACTTGAAACCCCCATCGGGCGCGTCCCCAGGTGGCGGATTGAGGAATGTTCGTTGGCGTAGGCCGAAGGGTAGAAGGGAAATAAAATACCTCCCGTGGACCAACAAGAAGGAAAATGCAATGAACAAAACAAATGGAAATATTACCCCAGGTGGTATACCAGGCAAAAAGCTGGACAATCCACCCTCAATTGAGGCTGGCCCTAAGGATTCTGGAGAGGGCCATTTACTGCATGGACCAAATACTAAGGTTTACGAATATAAACCACAAACGCAAAATGAAACATTCCTATGGAATGCATGGAAACTAGCAGAAGAAGAAATTAGTAAACTGGAAAAAAGATACAATTAATGCAACAAGATGAAAAAATAAAAAAAAAAGTAGTATATGAAACTGATGAGGAGGAGCTAGACAGGGAAACAGGAGGCGATTCTTGGAGAGAAGTTAAAGGGAAAAAAAAAACGAAAAGCAAACTCGTCACCGGAAGTATCGCCAGAACAATATAAACTACAACAAATGCAAGCGAAGAGCAGGAGCAGTAATGAGAATGGAAATCTGCCTCCGCCAATATTTATTAGCGGTGTTAATAATTTTGATATACTTAAAGAAGCAATTTTGCAAAAAGCAGAGACCGGTACAAGCTTCAAAATGCTTGCAAATGGAGAAGTCAAAGTTAATGTAGGAGATAGTGATAATTATAGAGCCATTATAAATCTACTAAAAACAATAAAGATGCAAAAAGATCATAGCCTACATAACATGGACTACCATACATACCAGTGCAAGCAAGCTAAACCATATAAAATAGTTATAAGAAGACTACATCCAACAACTAAAACAAGTGATATAGAGGAAGAACTAACAAAACTTGGACACGAAGTTATACGAGTAACTAATATTGTTATCAAAAAGAAAACTAATGGTGAGCAAAGTAAGGTCGCTCTACCCCTATTCTACGTTGACCTGACTACAAAAATAAACAACAAAGAAGTCTATAATTTAACTGATATGCTTTATTGCAAAATTAAAATAGAACCGC